AAATGTTACTTTGTCTGTGTGGTTAAAAACTCACTAATTAAGAGCCACAATGTTTTGCCACAAACAAGCTGGGTGGTTTGGAGAGGTCTCTGGCTTCAAGTTCCTTGTCTGTAGAGCGGGAACAACTATCCATGCATTACTGCTGCTTTTCCAAGTTGGACGGGTAGAGCAGGAAACGGAATGAGGGCTGGGAAAGGGCTTTGCTAAGTGTTGTGTCCTGCAAATGCCAGGTCCTCGTTCTCCCTCCCACACACGTCACTGCTCTAGAACTTGTACAACCTGGGTGTAAAAGGTTCCTTCTTCCTGCTCCCCTCCAGGATTACGGCAGGTTGCTCAGAAAAATGGCCAACTGCCAAGGATAATGAAGACCTGGGGTGAAGGAGGAATATCTTTCCCTGAAGAGGATTCTGTATCCATCCCCACACCCACCTACCCCTAAGCAGAGACCCAGCTGGCTTTCATTAGCAGAGGAGCAGGTGAAGTGCTGTGCAGCAGTGCGAGAATCAGACAAGTTCAGCAGAGTGGCTCACATGCAGCAAGTGCGAGACCACGAAGCCATCTAAGGAGGGCTGGCCAAGCCACGGCCCAACCTTGAGGGAAGCCTACTACCTCCAGGCTAGCAACACTCCCTGAAGCCTCATCTGGGGGAAACTCCTGGTAATCAGAACAGGCCACTGCAATCTGCCACTGCCCCCATCTCTGCTTAGCACCTGCACAGGGATACCTCCCTACACTTACACCCCAAACCTTGGCTGCCACCCTCCATGCCTCTCTTCCTTTTACCCAGTGAGCCAAAGCCTCACCAGCCTTCCTTCAGAGTCTGGCTCAAATCTTTTCAGACATCCCCATCACCAACCTCAGGCCAGACAGAGAAAACGTATTTAGAAAGCATTAGCTAAATGAAAATATATACCTCAATTTGTCATTGATAATCAAACAGAAAAACAAGCTTCAAATACAAAAGCTTCCTGTTAATACAGCCACACCTTAGCCTTCCAGTCTATCTTTCCAGTTTATTAAATAATCTTTTCCAATCGGTTTAAAAGAAAATAGCCCTATTTTAGGCCAGGATACCTGGTCTAAAACGACCTCAAGTCAGGTTGCAGCACAGGAATCTAGGCTCCACGTTTAAGCTTGTGGGCTCAGAAGATCCTGCGGCAGTGCGCCCTGGCTGGTGTGCCCTGGCTGGTGTGCCCTGGCTGGTGTGCAGGCCCCTCCCTCCAGCTCCATTCAGCCTTGCCCGCTGCCTGCATACCTCCTTCCTGTCGCTCGACATGCTCCTCACCTTCATTCCCCGACTTCCCATCCACAGCGTGGTGTAGTGGAAAAAGGCTCTGGCACTGAAGAGAACTGAGTTTCATTCTTGATTCTAGCACTTAACTCTGAGCCTCAGTTTTTTCATCTTTACAATAGGGATAATACCACCTCTGAGAAGGTTGTTTGAAAATTCAGAATGTCCAAGGGCCTGGCACACAGAAATACCAATTTAAGCATCCTTCTTCACTCTCTTTCCTTTCTTCCATTTCTGCTTCTTCCATCTACTGCTGCCCACAGCCCAAAATGACCTAAACAGAAGGCTACTGTTAACTTAATTACCTGGGACATTCAGTTGACATATGAATGCAGAGACCATCCACCCAAACCACAAAAAAGGATCCAGGCAGGAGAAACTGAGACAAAGCAGAGAGAGCCTGGGCTCCCAGGCAGTGCTAAGAGAATGTCTTCACAGCACCCAGGCTAATCCCATTACCTCCTGCGGGCCATAAGCAGCAAAAAAGATGACTCAGGACCATATATCTCCAGCTAGGATATGCTAATCAGACTCCTTGAAGCTGCCTAGGCAGATGGTGGCAAATACCACGTGACCCACCCACAGAGGCAGCACAGTTTGTCTCTCGAAATGGCAAAGTTCTGTCAAGAAAAACCAATACCCTCCTTAGAAGGACCAAGTAATTAAGATGTTGACAACTGATTGGTCAAGGCAAAAAAAATAGGCCCTCCCTCAACCTTGGCTCAATGAGGCAGATTCCACCAAACAGCCACAGCTGAGGAATGAAGTAACTTCTGCCAGGACGTTATTCAAATATCTCTTGGATTTAAGAAAAGCCTCTTGACTATAATGCCTATCTATCTTATTTGCCTTTAAAGGTAATGCTCAGCCCTTGACAGTTTTTATAACCTTGGAGGATCACAGTACTCAATCTGTACCCTCACTTAGCTCATCTCCCAACAGACAAGGATGTATCTGCCGGCCGATCTTTCTTCAGAGGCTACTGAAGTCACGAGACACACGCGAGCCAGAAATGGACAGTAAGGTGGAGACCCTCTATTCAATCCAACAGGGTCAATTTCACCATCTACCCATTTTTTCTTTTGCTGAAAAGCAACTTCCCAACTGTGTCTAGACAGACAGATAAATGGCTAGATGGACAGAAACAGGCAGATGGATGGACAGACAGATATGTTTTTTCTAAGATTAACAGGCAGAAGGGAGGACTCATGTGGTGATGAGTAGAGACTTTTTTTCCCAAAAGGTTGAAGCAAACTGGAAGAGAGAAGCTGCAGGAATGCTATTCAGAGAAACATCTGAGTCAACAGCCTTCTAAGCATGCACCCAGTCTCCCCTTTCTTTTCTGTGGTTTATAATCACTTGCTTTCTACCTGCCAAACGCTAGTGAGCTCTGAATGTTGGATTCCCAGGCTAGCTGTAATCAAACACCCTTTTTTCTTATTAATGCACTGGTAGGAAGCTTGCAATCAGCAGGTTTATGTTCTAAGCATGCTTAAATCTCAAAGCAAGTACTGATGAACCCCTGGCAGCAGACTGGCCAATGATTTAGCCACCACAGCAGACACGTGAGCATTTTCACTTAGCATGGACCTGCAGCGGCCTCCCCACACCAGTTCTCACCAAGTGTTTGCTTTGTGCTTCCTGTCTAACCCCCAGACCCCCAGATGCTGGGAGTCCTCTCCCAAAGCCTGGGAGCACTCCAAACCTGTCAGCACTAAGGAACCAATGTGGCCCCTGCTGAGCAGGCCACACACCTGCTTCTCACCTACCTGCCAGCACAGCCTTGCCTCCTTCACATACTTTCTGTTGCTTCAGCCAACCACGGCAAGAACAGCCAACATGTACTGGGTACTTACTATACACCAGGTACTATTCAAAGCAATTTAAGTGTATTAACTCATCTAATTCCTAAGCTCCACAGGAGTCTGCTGGAGGGAAAGAAATACCGAATTCCCACATGGTTTCTATTCCCTACTTCTAGCTGTGCTGTAAAGCTTACATAACCTAATTTGCATTATGGTGCTATTTTTAAAAATCTCCGAAGATCAGTGCTTCAAGCATCAATGGAAGCTGTTAGCTCCTACCTAAAATGATAATGTGGGAAAGGATATCTATTCTTACAACTAACTCAACCTGAATTCTTGACTTAAAACAGTTTTTCTGGAAGATGCTATTAGGAAAGGAAGGAACTCATCCTTATGTAAGTACTAGCTCTCTGCTCTGTAAATAACTGCTAGAGAGAAACACGTCAATATTGAAACTCACCTCAGCAGTAGGTAGTTTCCTGGCTCTGCGGTTGTTATTCATTTACCACCCATCTCCCTTCCAGGTCTCCTGGTAACACTGAGAAGTCTATGGTCACTGGATGGCACGGTAACAGATCGTTACAGCATATGAGTGTGAATACAACAGAACCTTTCTTGTTCTGGATGACTTCACAGAGACCTCCAGCCCCAGCCCACCACCACCAAGGAGGCACTGGCTTGTGCTGAATGGGAGATATAGGAAGACCATTCACAGAGCAGGTGGTTTTCAGCTTTAACTGCTCTTAATGCCCCTGGTTTTTAGGGCTCTAGATTGCTAAAAATCTAATTGCTGGGGTGGGAGGGTCTCCTTAGATCATTCCCCTAACTCACTACTGAAGATTTACCTCCACTGCTGTTACTAATGAAATCTAAGAAACAGCGAAGTTATAATGAATGATTGTTATAAGGCTACAGTTCCCCTCATTTCTCATCAAAAAAACGTGGTCAGTGTTTAAATAAATTAACCACTTTGCTCTTTGCTATCCTATAAAAACTGCTTAAAAAAGACCGGGGTATTTGTTACTCATTTCATTCCGTTCACTTACTTGGATAGAGCTCCACGAACATAAACCAGAGTTGGTTTCAGGCTGTCAAAACTGCCAGGGAAATATTTAAAATGAGTGAATTTCTAAATGATGCCCATTTCAGTGATGTCAGAGGGCCCATATTATTAAATAATTTATAAATAAACTATTAACTAATTATTTTTTCACACTGCTAATGCATTATTTGTCTCCCAACCTAGGATATTTATAATAGGCCCAATTCCAACACCTAGGAGACTCTCAAACTTAAAATGCTTCCACTGGGCAGAGCCTCTGTTTCGCTAGTACCCAGAGAAGGACCTGACACATCACAGGCACTCGGCTGTTTGATCAGCACTGAAATGTACTTGGTACGAGTCAGCTAGACCTCATACAACCTTTTACAGATGCCAAAGCCACATTCAACATACATACAGATTCTGTATGGGAAAAAAATTGTTCCAGCAACCTTCACAGTTAGTAATAAAAAGAAAACTGCTACTTAGAGACAAATATAAAACATAAAAATTCATTTTAATCTATATATATATAAAATACAGCCTTAGCATAGAACATCTAACACATATGAAATGCATTTATGGGATACACTAAACAAAGCAAATCCTTACTAAAATATTTGGCCTAACCCTCACATCTTCTAAATGAACTCCATGATGGTTGAATAAGGTGGGAAATAAATCATCTAGATACCTAACCTAGAAAAGACAGATGAATTGCCTTAAGTCTATTTGGTCTCTGCAGACTGGGTATTTACCATTCTGAGTCTTGCCAAAGCTAATTCTGCAAATAGTTACCTCAACTCAGTCAACTGTATATTTTTCCATAGTTACCTTAATATTTTTTTTCATTTTCTATTGCTTTTTTTTTTATGGCTTCTTGCTGCTGTTGTATTAGGGCATACAACACAGATCAGAGATTTTCATTTCTCAGAGAAGTTTCTCTTCTTGAGAAATTGGCACTTTGATCCTCAGCTTGCGTAACAGCTATGTATAAATGGATCCTGCCAGTACCGTTACCAATCTTGCAGCTTATGAAATTCCAGTACTTTGGCCAAAAGAGTGCCCTGACATTAAAATCTTCTTAGGTGAACTCTTCCCACCACTGAATTCTTTTATTTAAACAAGTACGTGTGTGTAATTCACATATTTGTTATAAGTTTCTACACACATACACACACAACTCAGCAAAAGTGAAATGTCTCTCTTGAATAGAAAGTAATTACAAGGGTATTAAAACAAATGCTGAAAATAATTATTTTACATTTAGATCATAAAAATTTTAAAGGTAATCTGATGACATAAGACCTAAGAGATCAAATACATCATATATGATTGTCATATATGCATGTTATGTTCATTGATTTTTAATTATTTTTCTCTTTAATCAGAAAATAAAAGAGCTTACCTTTGTATACTGAGACCACAGCTTACAGTCACTATATCTCAGCCTATTTTATACAAGTGATATGGCTACGAAGGTCCGAGGAGAACGAGAATAAAGTGAGATAAACGTGCTGAAAACTGCTTAAAAGTATTAACCTGAAATACACAGAGGGTCCAACACCAGTTTTAAAAATACATTAACGAGGTATTCCCAGCTCTTCAATTAATAACGGTGACTGGCTGATTCATGATCTTCAAACATTCACCCAAATTTTAAAAAAAGAAAAAGCTAATACCAGCAAAATCTATCAGTGCTTTGTTCCCCAGGTTAACAATTTGAGAGAAACTGCAAAGGACTGGAGGACTCCTCGCTTCACCGCACCATGCACTGCCTCTAGTCAGCATGAGGTATGTTGGGAATCGAGTGGACCAATTACCTTGCACAAGAGATGGGGTGCTCCCGCAGCCTGGAGAAACGCGGGCTGCAGGCCACATCCCTGGCTGGATGCCAGCCCCCATACAAAGAATATGGCTTCAAGGAGGACCCCTATCTCTGAGAAATGATAATAGCACTAACTGACGCAGTCAGGAATGCAACTATTCAATTTATGTGCTAAAAAACTTTAAAAACTGTCAGAAGATAGCACAGCTCACACACGAATTCTAAGTTCTACGTTGGTCTGTAAACTCCCTGACGAGACTACACTAGGAGGGGTTACGTACAGATATTGCTAGGTTTCCAAAGGAAAAGTTTAAAACAGACACCGTGGCTTTGAATAAAGTATTGCTCTTCTTTAAAATGTTCAGTCACTGCTTTCCAAAAGAAGGTGTCAGTGGTGTATCTGAAAGCTGGAAAGCCTCAGGGGGTCACATTGCTCTTAAGACCAAGACATAGAAATTGCCATTTCAAGCCAGACAACCTGATGGTTCTAGAAGTCAGAGAAGAAATCTTGAGGGCCCAAGTGAATAATAAATGGTGCGACGCTCAGAGGCTGGCAATAGGGGCTGTCAATGAAAAAACCACCTACAGTGGAGAAAAGAGCAGAGAAGCAAAACTTTATGTTAATTTCACAGAATTTGGTGAAGCCAAAAGCTTCATTTATATTTCTCTGCTCTTTCAGCTGTAAGTGGAATTTTCATTACAAAATGGAAGGGTGGAAAGGGCAAAAGGGTGGGAGGGGGACACTTAATTCATTACAAAATTTAAACAGTTGAACTTGCATGGTTACCACTTCTAACAAAGGACTGACAGCTCAATTATTTTAAGTAAAGCAGAGAAATGTAAAAGTTTGCAGCAACTGGGCAGGTTTACAACATGGTTAGTAACTTTCAACAAACAACAAAATTAAAAAAAAAAAAACTTGGTAGAAACCATTTGAAATGACTGCCATCATGTTGGAAAACAGCACAGCTCCCTTTTCGCCATTATAGAGGGGTTCAGTTATGAAGCTGAGTCAGCTACATCAAAAGAATTTTCTAAAGAGAAATCTCCAGAGAGATTCCAACTTGGAATGCAAATTTGACGATCAATTTCAAATAACAATACAGCTGCAGCTGCCAATTAACAGTATTCCAAAACAAAGAGGACTATTGTAAATATTTAATTAATAAAAACTGGACACTATCAGCCATGCTTTTTCTTCTCAGTGATGGCTCTGTTTCATCCATAGGTCAGCAAAACGAATCAATGAAACATGAAAACTCCCAGCTGAAATGAGCCCTCTGGTTTATGTCTAACCACTAATGCACAGGATGAGAATGGTAAGTTCACAGCTATTGCTAGCAAGTGATAAGGTTTTATTAAAGTATCACCCACCACTAATAGAGACAAAAGGTCAAGGAGCAGATGAAACAAACCAACCACTGGGTAATAAATATACATCTGAGAAGTGACACTACCATTTGTTTTAAATTGCCCATTTCTCTCTCATTTAGTGGTCCCAAAGAAATCTGGTACATAGGTTTGCCGTATTTTGTGAAGCCCATTCTCACTGACAGGCATTGTGCAGCTCCGAAAAACAGAATTTAAGAGGAAAGAGGAAAGCTAATTCATACTAAAAATGGACATTTTTAAGACACAGCAACTTATAAATATCGACATGGGACCAGACTGTTGCTTTCATAGGGGTGAGTACCTTAATGAAACCATTACCTTCTAGTAACATCATAGGCTTTCCAAATAAGGTGAGAATGCAGGTGGAAGACTTAGGTCTGCACCCTTTACAGAACAGCACAATGTTACCGACTGATCATTTTCACCAGCTTAATCAGGTGTCTTAAAAATAAATGCTGACCCATGGCTGAAACCTGTCACTTTTCACAGCAGCACTCAACAAGAACTGGGACAATTGAAGAGCAAGTTTTTATGGGGACCCTGTTGCTGCTTTAGATTCTGATGTAATTGAAGAGGAAAAGAGACCCTTCAATAAATCCCAGAAAAACTGCTAATCTTCTAACTGCATGAAAAAAGCCAGAGAGTGAACACAGTATCTTACAGAGTGAAGAAGGCCACAAGAACAAGAGAGGGTGATTGATTGATTAATTTATTTTTTAAAACTTAGAAATTCGTAAACTAAAATAATCACATTCCTCCTTTCCCATCTCTGGGTAGTGCCGTCATTTTAATAAGCAGTGCTCGGAGAACAGAATATACCTTTATCATGGGGATGCCCTGTACAGCGGAGTACAAAGGGCTTACAAAGTAGACTGGCTCCAACTAACAATCGCTTTCGCTTTGTTTTAGCAGTTTGCTTACAAATGAATGGGTTTCTAGGGCTAAGTTATTATTAGTTTTCAATTCCTTGTAATTTGATACCAAAACATATCAAAAATAATAAGCTAAAACAATATTCAAACCCATATTTTATTGGCTTTAATTACACATTTCAATATTTACAAAGTTAAAGTTTAAATGAAAAGTCTCTATTGTATTAAAAAAAATAACTACAGCCCAAATTAAAGTGCCCTGGGGCAAATACATATGAATCAACTAAGAATCAGTGACTGCATCAGGAACCAGGCAGCACTCTGTGTTAACAACAAAGCAGTTTATTTGTGATCAGTGTTTGAGACTCTATACATCCTTCACAAATTTAATTTTACATAATCTGATATTCTTCTTAAAACTTAAACTTTGAACTGCTAGACTTATTTCCCTAGAACAGAAGGGCTGGTATAAGTTATTTTCCGGAAATGAGGTACCGTTTCACAGAACTAGTTTCTTTTTTTGTTTGTTTTCAAGTTTTAGAGAACTAAATTTGCATTTGTTAAAATCAAAAAGTAGGAAAGATGTTCTTTACAAATAATTTTGATCAAGTATGTGTCCAAAGAAAGCAGGATAAAAAGGCTTTTTCTCTAACATTCTGTATTGTACTGTATTGTTGTTCAATAGGAATTAGCTTCTGTCATTTGCTAAAAGAATGAGTAGTGGGGAACAGGATATGTTGGGAATTTCATAACGGGTAACAGAACCATTCTCTTGGGTAAACCTACAGAAAAAAGAAACGGAAAGGACTCCAAATAAGTTTAGTAATCCAATAAAAATTTCAGGTAAAAAAAAAATCTTACCATAATTATCATTAACCTTTTCCAGATTAGTCAGTCAACATGTACCATTTTGGAAGAGGCCCACAAATCTCTCAGAGATCTTCTAATTTGAAATTGCTCTTAATATTCTGACAATTAATATTTTCCACTCAAAACTAAGAGGGATAAGAAGCATAATATTCAGAAAGCTATTTTATTTGAGTGAGCTGCCATGAATTCTAAAGACCAAAAGCAATGCTATTAATATTCTAAAGTGACTCTAGAAATCCATATTGGTTCTCAATTTGGCACATCGCATATTATAGCAGAAACAGAGATTGTCCTGATTCAAAGCACAGCTTTCTGTGCAGGCCTCAGCTCCCCAGGGAGACAGATCCAACTGGAGTTGTGATCAGGTATTTATCACCTTAATGGCTATTGCCAATATTGGCATGGCAAATCTGGAAAGATTAATTACTTTCTTAATTTTGTAATTAATGAGTTCTTGTGGCCTCACAAACTTCTGCATACTCAAGCATGATTTGAAATCAGCTCCTATTTCTATTCTAATGTTTAACCTATGGAGAAATCACAAAGCAGCAACAGCAGGTATTCAAGAGCACCAGATGATCAGAGGGAAATTACCCCACATGCAACAGCTTTACAAAGGCCAAAAGACATATTTACCTTACAGCCAAAATAAAGCATCGTTTTAGTAGGTTGGCATCACAATAACATTTAAAAACCAAATCTTTTATGTGAAAAATGGGGGCATCAAATTTCACCAGCTTTGGAAGTCAGTTATATGGCACATGGAAGTTTGGAGCCTTCTGAACTGGGGGCTCAGAGGCCGCAGGGTGAAAGTACAATGTTAGAGGAAAGGGAGGAACAAGAGAAAAATTAAAAAGATTGAGGAAAAACATGAATGTAGCTTAGAGCCTATATATAAAAGTGTTTTAAAGGGAAAAATTAAGCTCTGGCAAAACTGTACTAAAGAATATGAGACTTACTAAGTCTAAAAGAAAGACACAGACTTCAGAACCTGCCCTAGGAGGCAGATGCTGTGGTGCTCACACATTACAAGACATATTACAGTGAGCCTAATGAGTCAAAATGTATTTGGATAAACTGACCAGACCTAATTCACAGAAAGGATGAGGTGGTCAGGAAATGCAGAAGTTGGCTGAATGGTAAAAAGCAAATGGCCAAATCAAAGGGAGCTAGGGAGTTTGAATTTAGAAGAAATTCTGGGTGAAAGCATATTCTTGAATGAGTCCCCAGTTCCTAACCAACCCGTATCTAGAATATGGAGAATATGGGGAAGCCTCTAGCAAACCAGTGTGTCAGAGGAGACAGTCAGGTAAAGGATGAAACCCCAGACCCTGCCACTTTGCCTTAGAGAAAACTCACCCCAAATGTTTGACCCCTGCAGCTTCTCCACATCTTTCCAAGATAAAAATTGTCTATCTTAACAGGGAAAGTGGTCAAACTGTTACTTTCTACTTATCTCTACGGTTATGAAATCAGATGAAGCTTTGATTTAGCAGTGTCTTAAGGACCCATAATTTTTATCCAAACAAAAATGGAAAAGCTGATGCATGAAGAGAAAAAGCATAATGAAAGGTCTTCAGGCTCATGTAGAGGACTGATGCCACAAGTAGCAATACATTCAAGGTCTTTTCCTTCTGTGTACGTGCATGCCCAGCCTGGGGTCGCACCCACACATACACTCAGGTGTGCACACACACGGTCTCACACTTACACACACTCCGTCACACATGCACACACACTTGCTCTCTTCTTCTCTCCTTGACAAACGTCCTGCAGATGGCTGATTCTATACCATGTAGCACCTGAGTTAAGAAAAATGTCTAAGAGAGCATATCACTGACTCCAAACCTACTGCCTCCATTGCCACATAAACCTCATTCAAAAGTTATCCAAAGGGCCACTGAGGTTCATTTCTGCATTTGCTCTATTTTTTATTTTTGGAGGGAGAACAGACACTCTTATGATATTCCAACATGTACTACAGACTTTCTGCAGTAAGCACTTAAGTAACACTGCTGGTGATACCCCCTATCACCTCTCTAAGACCTGTTTACTCCACCTCTAAAGCAAAATTTATGGAAAAGGATGATGGCTACAAATTTGAAGTGAGCATTTCCTATCCCTAACTCAAATCACCCACAGTTCACACAGTTTCAAACCAGAAACTTAAATGTAGCTATACAACTGTCAGGCAGCCAAGCTAGAAACTGGGTATGGCCCTTCAGTAGCCTTTGAATGGAGTGTAAGTTGGCTGTAAGAAGAACTACTTAAAATATTTAATTTCAATATGGTCATAAACAGGCAATTAGAACAAGCAGTCCTTCAATCAGGCAAAGCAGAGAGAAGAGCAACTCCAACCAAACCAAGAACCACAAGGTTGTAGCATTTTCAGAGGGAATTTAAGTTGGGTCACTAGAATGAATAGGTCTGAGATCCTCCAATTCATTTAAAGAAACCCTAGATACAAATTGTGCTTTGGATTGCTGTGACAGAGTCACTAATAGGAGAATCAGTAAGATGGTGTACATACCATAGGCAGGGGCAGCTGTGCTGTAACCATATGGTGTTCCATAGCCTAGTGCAAAGAAGAAGAAAGCAGATCAGTCCAGGACAAAGGGCAACCGGCACTGGTTCCATTCACAAGTACCACCTGGCCTAGTGCCTTGGGCCCTAAGGACTTCCTCCAAATGTTGGAAGAATGAGAACCATTACCAGAATGGCCCTAGTCTACTGATCCCTCTATGCCTGCTTAGAGCGGGAGCTTTTACCATGGCCTCCAAGACTCTCCTGACCTACCAGAATATCCTCTACCTCTTTCTCACTACACTTCCCACAATGTATTATAATTAGCGACTTCTTGTCTGTGTTCCCTGCTAGAGTGGCAGAGACCAAGTCTTCTACATCTTTGCATCACCTGAACCTGGCAGAACGTCTGGCATATAGTAACCATTCACTAAATACGATTAGTTGAACAAAAGAATACTTAAAACCACTCAAATTACCAATTTCTCAAAGTTGGAATACAGAACTTTCCAAGTCTCTTTTCAGAAAGCAGTGACAGACAAGCTGAAGCCTCAACTGCCACTAAACTGCACATGGATCAGGTGTGGGCTTGAGGGCAAGGTCCATGTCTTGCTGATATCTGAATTCCTGGCCCCAGCACAGGGTCTCTCAGTAAATGTTGATGAAATTGACATTAACATCTGGTGCCTAAGAAAAAAGGCTCATATTGTCAATAAAAACAAGTACAAAGAATACAAAAGTTTCTAGACCAATTAGTTCTGGCACTAGTTTCTTATATGTCCTTAGATATATAACTTCTGAGTTGCCATTTTCTCATCTGTAAAATGGGAAACCTTCCAAGCTACTTTATAGTAAGGGATTAGAAATAACATGTCAAGAGAAGCTACAATCTTTAATCTTTCAGTAAAACAACTTTAAAAAATATAAATACTAAATCACTTGGATAAGTCTCTAGAAAAATTTGTTTCTAAAACAGAACAAGGGCACAAAATCTACACGGGCCCTTCACACTGTACCCAGAACAAATCAAGCTTTTTTACATTACAACCTCTTCTTCCATAATCATTTCTGTTGTGCAGAATGATTTTTTTTCTCCTTCTCTATCTGACCAACTGCAACTCATCCTTTAGAACATAAACAAATATCACCGCCTCTGTGAAGTCTCCCAGGCTTGCTATTCACCCCTTTGCCCACTCCCATGTTACAGCTTGCATCAGATTGCATGGTGTTTACTCAAGTGTCTGTTCCTACCCCATCTGACCCCAAACATTCACAGGGGCAGAGCTAGGTCTTAGTCATCTTTGAATGCCCAGTTCCAAATCTCTTGTTTGAGACAAAACACTCAAATGTATGCTGAATAAGTGAACTGCTTTTAGGGACTTATTGAAACATTCCCTGAGAGATGAAAAAATTTCACTGTTTAGTCTATACTTAAGTCATATAGAACTGGGGGTAGTACAACTTTAGTCTTAGTCTTTAGTCTTAGTCTGAATCGTACTCTTTAGTGCTCACTAAATCGTATATTTCAAGAGGACAGAATGCAGATGAACTAAGCAGTAGGAACAGGAGATGGTATTAGAGGCCAAAGAGAAATTAATGCTTAAAAAATGAGGCTGTACATCAAAACTCTTCCAGGAAAAGGGAGGTGGCTGGCTAAGGCTACAGTTTCAAAGGCTTTTACCAAAACCTCCTTAAAGAGAAGTGAAACTACAAGCACTAAGCTGGCCACTGATCAGGCTACTGGGATTCTAATCCTGACTTCACCTATCACCAGCAAGGTGACTTTAAATTGTACCTGTTATTTAACCTCTCTGAGCCTCTCAATCTTCTGCAGTAATTGAGTTGGCAGGAGTATGTAATTAAATAATATATGTAAAAATACTTATTACAGTCCCTGCTGCACAAAACATACTCCACAAATGGCATATAACCTCTTCATAATCTAAATTGACCTAATTTGAATCTTCTCTAGGCTATAAAAGAACTTCATTTTTAAAAGCTTCAGGAGACAGGCCTTTCACAGAGGTCAATATGATGACATAAGAGAGAAGCTACTATAGAGCAAAAGAGCCTGGCAATAAGCAGACATAAATGATTCTTTCACAATTACTGCCACTAGACAGTGACTGCTTACCACTCCAGCAGGAGGTAAATGTTCCAAGACCAAGCAACCATAGACACAACCAGATGAAGCCCCAATAGAACACGTAATCAAAGGCAAGAAAGTTCATCTCAATAACTTGCTTATTATTGTTTAATGAAAGCTACTACCTTTAAATAACGCATTAAATGAGGCAAGAAATATTAAATTTTAGTAGAAATAGTGAGATGCACAAAGAATGTCTTCATTTTGGACACACAAACTGTATCAAACTATAACCTTTTTCCTCTCCCTCCAACACACTCATCTTTCAGCGTTCTCTGTCTCCTTAAATGGCACAACCGTCTAATCCAGTTCCTCTAGCTAAAAATACTGGGAGATATCCTTGAAATCTCTTTTTCATTCTCCATAGTAAATCCATCAATTTTGCTTCCAAAGTACTCATTCAATCCACTCACTTCCTGCCACCCATCTACTTCCCTACACCCACTGGAGACCCTCCACTGTCTCTTGCCTGGGCTACTAATTTACAAAAACCTTCTAACTTGTCTTTTCATGCCCACTTCTGTCCTTACAATCTACTCTTCACACTACAGAGAGTGATCTTTACAAAAAAAGTCTCATCTTGTCACTTCTCTCCTTAGAATCCTTCACAACTTCCCACTGCACTTAGGATTCTAAGCCCAAAATCCAAACCACAGCCTCCAGGACTGGGACTGAGCATCCAGCTTTAGCTCAAATCACTGCCCCTCTAGCCCCACCATCCCCCTCGCCCCCACAATGCTCTCCATACTACAGACATTTTGGCCTTCTTTTTTTTTTTTTTTTAATAATTTTTTTTTATTTATTTATTTTTCCCCAAAGCCCCAGTAGATAGTTGTATGTCATAGTTGCACATCCTTCTAGTTGCTGTATGTGGGACACGGTCTCAGCATGGCCGGAGAAGCAGTGCGTCGGTGCGCGCCCGGGATCCGAACCCGGGCCGCCAGCAGCGGAGTGCGCGCACTTAACCGCTAAGCCACGGGGCTGGCCCTTGGCCTTCTTCTAATTCTTCAAATGAGCCACGTTCCCTACTGCCAGCACCGCAGGGTCTCTGCACATGCTGTACCTTCTGTGTGTGACACTCTTTCATCCAAGTCTTCTCTGAATTAACTCCTACTCATTCTTCAAAGCTCAGTTCAAGTGTTATTTCTTCAGGGACCCAACAGACTAGATCAGGTTTCTCTGTTACATCCTCTCATAGCATCATGTCCTTCTCCTTCATCGTAATCATCTCAGTTTATAATTGTAATTATTTGATTAGTAAGTCTCACCTTTAGACCACAAGCTGCATGAGAGCAAAATCCATGTCTGGTGTGTGCCAAAGCTTATCTGTGTGTGCCACTTGCTTATTTGAATAAGCAAGTATATTCTTTACATGAGACATCTTTGAGCTATGCCCCTACTGGGATCAACTTGTAGAAGTATAATTCCAAAGCCACACCATCCACAGAACTTCCTGAATAGCCTATTCTAATTCTGTCTTAGGGGGAAAAAAAAAACAATCGAAGTGAACTTCTTAGGAGTGTTACATAAAAAATTATGACCGGATAGGACCCAATCCTTATGACAATTTCATCTTTTTTTTTTTTAATTTTTTTTATTGTGTGTGTGAGGGAGATCAGCCCTGAGCTAACATCCGTGCTAATCCTCCTCTTTTTGCTGAGGAAGACCAGCTCTGAGCTAACATCTATTGCCAATCCTTCTCCTTTTGTTTTTCCCCCCAAAGCCCCAGTAGATAGTTGTATGTCATAGCTGCACATCCTTCTAGTTGCTGTATGTGGGACGCGGCCTCAGCATGGCCGGACAGCGGTGCTTCGGTGCGCGCCCGGGATCCAAACCCGGGCCGCCAGTGGCAGAGCGCATGCACTTAACCGCTAAGCCACGGGGCCAGCCCATGACAATTTCATCTTGATCAAAAACTAAAAGCAGCTGGTTTACTTGTCAAGTTAAAAGTTCCATACTTTCGATATTGCGGAGAACTTAATTTTCAATGAGATAGCTGTCCAAAACAGAAAGCAGAGAGAAGGCATCTTTTCCCCTCTTCATCAAGCCATGTGGTGAAATGGAAAGAATACAAACTTTGGAACTGCAAGCACCTACATTCACATCTTTGCTCCACTGTTTACTAGGTGTCTCACACCGGGCTAGTTGCCTCATCTCCCTAAGCCTTAGTTTCCTCACCTGGAAAATGGAAATAATTTCTACTTGAGAAAACACTGTGAAAATTAGAAACAATTAAGTGAAATCACTTATACGAAAATATCTGGTGTATACTAAGTTCTGGATAAATACGTTCCTCTTTTTCTCTTTTTGTACTTCTCTAGCCTTTGTTGGCTTCCAAACATTGAGTTAGGAAATGCTAATAATGCCAGGCTTCACCCCAATTAAGTAGCCTCTTATCAGCAGTTTTTCTCTCCTGTTATACCCAACCTGTCTTCCATGTCCCCACTGAATATACCCTGCTCAGATGTCCGAACTCCTGAATCTGTGGAATATCTTTTAGCTTCTTCATTGTCAAAATACATCCCCTCAAACAGGTGCAATATTCTCATCTGTCACCTCCCTCCAGGAAGCCGCTAGTCCCTCAGCAAATTCCAGGAGAAAACCTATGACATTCTGTCGATTCTCTTCAATTTCTGTGCATACCCATCTTATACCTGTGTTATGTTCCCAGAGACTGTGTATAACCCTGGAAAATAAAGGAGATGCTGTTCTTCAAACTCTGGCCCAGAGAAGGAGCAGACCTTGTATGAGTTGTACTATACCTGGAGCTATGTAGCCAGGAGCAGCTGTGGCCCCAACAAAAGCTCCCCTTGTTAGAGTCCCTCTTCCTCTGCCTCGAACAGCTTGGACTGCTGCAGACACGGCTGTATTCACAACACCCTTTGCCTGTTAAAAGTAATACATTTTCATTACTGCAAGAAATAAGAATTATCATCCTATCATTTCTGAAATGTACAACCTCTGTGAGAAAGCTGAGCCTGTAAATGAGACAGTGAGTCGTCTATGACCTTGAACCTTCAATTTGTAAAATGAAAATGACACCTACATTACAGACTTGTTCTGGAGAATATGCTGGGCACATAAAAGTATGTAAATAATTTCTTTTCACTTGAGGGTTACTCAGAAAGAGTTCATTTTCTACACACAAATTTCAGTAGTGAAATTACATCTAAAGTCATTTTAGGGCTAACTAAAGTAATTATAGACACTTGAGACCTAGGTGTAAAATCCTTTGAATTCTCTGCCCACAGAAAAAAATACTGCAATAACAAACTACTTGGAATCAACTGAGAACTTGAATAGGGTTTAAAAACAAAGGGACTAAGACAGGAAGACCAAACATTTGGATGCCAGTTCCTCCTTTAAGTAAGTGAGACCTCAGGAAGGTCATGTGATTTCTTTGAGCCTGTTTCTTCTGCTGTATGTGTAGGTATGTGTATGTACATATGTATCAATCATTAAATAAATTAATTCCAACTCTAAAGTCTCTTCTTGCTCTAAAATGCCACGGACTCTGGTAAAGTCACATAATCTCTCTCTAATGGGAGTCTCCTCACTAACTGTGAAATGAGGATAATGACACCCACTTTGTTTTCCTTACGTCAGAGTAGAAAGAGCAACTGAGAAAACAGACATAAAACTCTGAAAAGTAGAATAGATAAGTCAAGGACTAACAGCACACAGTGCTGCTAAAACATCCCTTTCCAAAACTGAAATTTTAAGAAAATCAAAAGAAATCTAGTTTTAAATTAAATGTTATACTTATTTTTTAATATAAAGATGTAACAAAAACTCAATCTAGAAACTACCAAAATTCTCTACTTTAACCAAGTTGCAGGGAAGGAGTTGCAGAGCCTCGAAGCTCACTGTCTAACAGAGTCAACAGTACCTCAAACAGCTTCAATAGCCAGAGCATACACACACTTATCTCACAGTGAAAAGTCATCATCTTTTACTTCTCCTAGGTTAGCCTCTACCACTAGTATGACTGGGCAGAAGATAGTTTCAAGGCTGAATGTATCATGCACAGGGAACAGCCATTTGTCTTTTTGGCTGAAAAAAATCCAACTTACACATCCAAAATAGACTGCTTCTTGGCTGTCAAGCACATTGAACACATGAGTTTTATAGCTTCTGGTATAGAAAATTTCTAAAAATGAGTGAACTTCAAGAAGATATCCTTTTTGTTTTTTTAACACAGCTCAGTCAAAAGTAGTCAGGAAGCAACAATCTGGCAGCAGCAGAGTGACTCCACACAAATTAAGCTCATGTCTACAAGAACCAAACTTCACTACCTAATAAGCATCCGTCCACAGGCTTTGTAAACACTAAAATTAACTGACCAAATATAAGATGTAACCCATGGGAAAAACACACCCAAAAAAACAAGGTAACAATTATCTTTCTACTAATTTAGAACATATTCTAGAAGATTTTACAAAAAGAAAAACCACGTATTCTCTCTCTACATGTCTTCCATTGTAATTTAAACACTTTATTTTTATTTAATCTCAGTAAAAGTTAATTTTCCTTGTTTATATTCTGAATCCTAAAATTTAAGCAATGTTGTTTATTATTTAAGAAGTTTAAATGAACACAAAACAAATTTCTAAGATGGATATAATATGCAATAGTAGAATGCCCATGGTCTTTGGAAGGAGAAGAACTTGGTTTTAAAGGGAACCTCTACCATCAATTAGCTGTGTCACTACACGCAGTATCTTAATTTCTTTGGGCCTCATTTCCTCATGTATAAAATGAAATCAATTCCACCCTCCTGTAATGGACTTAGCATATGTAAAAGAAACTCAACAAACTGTTTTAACACAGAATCTTAAATAATCTAAGATTCCTTCTATTAGTCTAAACATTTTTAATTGATTTGTTTCTATCATATAATATATTCAGACATTATTACACCACTACTCTCCATGAGGCAGAGAATGTGTCATATTTACTTATGTATCTCTTTTCCTTACAAACCATGCATATAGTTATGTCTAGAAAATATTTTTGAACGCATAAATGAATGGAAGAAAGAATCTCTTATCCAAAAGCATGTAATGAGGAAGCCATCTTTTTAAAATACTTTGCTACAATCCTGGGCCTTTAGCAGCACTGACATTCCCAATGTCAACAATGAACAGATGCAACAGAGGGTCAAGTTCTACTGTGCCACCTCCCAAAGAAAAACCCAAATGAATAATGCAAAAGTTCCAAACTGGAAAGGAAATGGAACAGCATCTGCAAACCCCTGATGAACGTAAGCTCCAAGTACGCTCCGCAGCTTCCCTAAAGTAAACACAAACGCTAACATCTCATTAAAGTCCAAATCCCTCAACATCTACCTCATCAAGAGTGACCTAAAGCCCCCAAATAATGCCAATGGTCTCTTTTTAATATATAAATGCTAACAGTCTCTTTTTAATATATAATTTGCCTAGAAAGACCACAGAACAGAGAACCACTGATCACATTCATATTATTCATTGACTTACCCAAAGAAAAGGTTGCCAAATCCAAGAAAAAGAAGTAATTTCAGAAAAAGTAACATGGCAGGAAAGGAAATTTAAAAACAGGAAAGGAAATTTAATTCTGGTAATATTTTCAAAGGCATTGCAAAGGTTTAATACTTAACTCATACCTGAGGGATAATCTTCTTTTTCTTATTATTTGCTGCATTGGGTCCAGAAAACAGCTTCTCCAGGGCAGCTAAAGCTGCACTTGCCTTTGCCACTTTCTTATTTGGACCTGCACCTCTGAACTTCTGTCCATCTACTTCTACCTAAAATCAAGAACAACACTCTGCAATTATCCCATGCAGTTCCTCTATGTGGTTTTAACTTAAGTCAGTCATAACGGAGAAAATAGTGCCACAAGAAAAACTCAGTCTACAACTTGTTTACAGGTAAGCTCAGGATATCCTATGTGTTTGAGGGGAAAAACAAGGCTGGCTTGTATCTAGGTACACACCTCCATTACAAAGCGCTTGTCATGGCTTCCACCAGTCTCCGAGATGAGTTCATACTTAAGACCTCTTCTTTTTTCATTGAGCTCCATTACAGGATTTTTGCCACTTGCTGTGAGGATAGGGCCCTGAGTTCTTACCTAAAAGAAGGTTCAATTAAGTAAGATTTTAGAGTATTAAATTTCTTATTAATACAATTATACTACATCTCTGTTGAAAAAGAGGCTCAAAAATTGTACTTTAAAGCATATAAGGGCCAGGATGCGTGATCATCTCTATATACAAATGACAAAATATCTTTAAAGGTATGGAAACTCTACAAGCAGTAAAGTCATCTGGCCAGCCTACCTTTGAAGCAGAGCTGTCCCAACAGATCCATATTTAAGAACAATGTAGCCTTGCCATTACATGGCACTCTAGGGTCTGATCTGTGGTGCTCATGTTCTAAGAATAATACTCTAAATAACTAACAAAGTGGATAGAACTAGAACAGCTGAAATTCACATGACACCTGAGCATTCACTGCTTTTCATCTTTAGGGTTAGGAAGAAATAACTCTCAATTTGGGAGATGGGAAGAAAACGTCCCTATACACCTCTCAGTCTCTCTAAAGAGATGTAAGGGCACCTAAGGTAAAAACAACAGGCTACAGACTACAGATTCTGAAATTTTAAAATAACAATAAAAGCAGTCATTCCCTGCCCTCAAGGAGCTAGAATGTAGTGCAGGACACACACACACACACACACACACACACACACACACACAATATCACTGTAAAACAATGTATATTATAGAACAGATGTATGTTATGGAAACATAGCAGAGGGAATCGTTTTCTAGGGCAATCAGGATAGTTTTCCTGAAAGTGACACGGGAACCTGACCTTAAAAAGCAAGCAGCAGACCATCATAAGGAGGAAACAAAGGAGAAGGGCATTCTGGACAGAAGAAACAGTGATGCAAAGGCCCAAGAGAAGGAAAGAACATTTGTTTGGGAAATGGCAAGAAGTTCAGTCTGCCTGTATAAGGGAGTGAGGAGAAGAAGGTAGGACTTGATTAGAAACACCCTTTATGGAGCTGAATCTGAATCATAGAGGACGAGGACTTTGTATGCCATGCAAATGAACTTTGACTTTATCATGGACAATGAGGAGCCACTGAAAGACATTAATTTAGAAAAGTTCATGATTAGATTTGTGTTGTAGAACAATCACTCTAGGAGTGGTAAACAGAACTAACTTGAGGAAGGATAAGACTAGACATATGGAAGAGAAGCAATCCACGTTAAGAGTGTGCAGGCACCAACGAAGAGAGGCTAGCACCAGAATGAAACAAAACACAAAACACTACAACAATAATTATGAGAAAAGACCCACAGATTGAGCACTTTTTGAGGTTAGAGATCATGTCTGTTATTCCACCACAGTAAGTGCTCAAGAAGTGCTGAAGAAATGAATGCCCAAAAGAATTATTATGTATATAAACCTAATGGACAAGAAGATTCTCTTAATAAAGTACTCTATGCTGATTTGATAAGTGGGTGATGCTGTAGAAGTCAAACATTGGACAATTTTTAAAGACAAGTTTAACAAACATTCCTGGGTCTTTTGCAATAAACATCACTTCTTGAAGAGTTTTATAATCTACAATTTAAAAATTTCAAGGCAAATTTCCAGTCTCTATCTTTGAAAGGTAATGAGTAATTTTTGAAACTAGGTCTATGTTAACCACTCTCTGCTTTCCAAATCTGACATCCCTTTTATAAAAATGAGCCAAGACATAAAAATATTTGCATTTCTAATAAGTTACTAATATGTTAAATAAAGAATAGGGCTTTCTTCCCTCATCCTATTACTACATTATACAGATACAAAGCATAGATGTATTCACTACCAAAACCTCCCCATACTCATGTGCCTGCTATAAGCGCAGCCCACACTACTCTCTCCTTTCATAATGCCCTTTGAACTTAACAGTCAGAGCCTCATAATTAATGAGCTGTTTCTTCTCTTAGTATTTATAACACTGCCAGCAGACCATGTTGCCCTGCCTGTGACTATCACTTGTGAATGACTGCTCCTCTTAAAAGCCAGGTGCCATGTCTTCTGTCCTCCACAATATCACATGAAGAATCAGTCATGGCTTTCAAAGGCCTCAGTTCCCATCAATCCCCTCCACACTGGCCCACCTGGCACTTTTCTTTCTTTCTTTCTTTCTTTCTTTTTTTTTTATGGTGAGGAAGATTGGCCCCTGAGCTAACATCTGTGCCCATCTTCCACTATTTTGTATATGGGATGCCACCACAGCATGGCTTGATGAACCATGCATAGGTCTGTGCCTGGGATCTGAACCTGCAAACCCCAGGCTGCCAAAGCGGAGCGTGCAAAATTGACCACTATGCCACTGGGCAGCCCCTCACCTGGCATGTCTTAAACATGTACTTTCACAACTCCAGGTCATTATACCTCCTATTCCTTTAGCCCAGAATGCCTTCTTCCACCTCTTCCCCACATAGCAAAATCCTACCCTCATCTAAAACCTAGCTCACATTTTATTCCCTTTGGTTTTACACGTGTGTAAGTTTCGTAATGACTTCCTCCCTGGAGCTTTTACACTATTATATTCATTTTGCAATCACGGTGCTTATCACATTACATTATAATTAGTTATAAACATGTCTTTTGCCCTTCTGGCTGAGGACATTCTGAGGCTCTGGACACAATTTCTGCAGCATTTAGCAGTAAGCAGGTAAAAAAAGGGGTTTATAGACTGAAAAAATTATAGTCCACTAAGTCCTTAATAAATACTCATTCTCAAAAATGACAAAATTAGAAAAAAAAATGTTAATGTAAGCTGTTGCAGTTAAAGCTAATTTTCCTTATGTAGAGTGCAATAGACAAGGGCTCCAGGAATTCCCAAATAGGCCGTGTATACTTAGTCCTTAGATTTTGTCCCATTCTACTGTCTGTGGCAATAAGATCATAGGCCAGGACTTACTCAGAGTCTGAGGAACATACTAGGTCAGGCTATGCCTTCCTCAGGGCTGGACCAACTCAATGACGACCCACTGTCCCCAAAAGCTTAGCACAACCTGCAAATAATCCTAAATTTCCTCCACTAGATCCTTCGGTTTTTCCCTCTTCAGTTATTAATACTCTTTGATACATTACAATTGTGAAATATTCAAAGCAACTTCCATGGCCAGTGAAAGGTAAATGCTAGTTAAATTAGGGTACATTCACATGGTTGTGCAGCATATAGTTATGTTTACAGATATTTTTAGAGTTAAGTGAAAAAAACAAGATGTAAAACTGCATGAAAGTATTATTGCCTTCATAAAAATACTCGTACAAAAAGGGCTAGATGGAAATAAACCAAAATAGTAATAATGCCTGCCTCTGGAATATACACATTTGTATATGCTTTTGATTTTCTTATTTATACTTTTCCATATCTCTCAAATTTTCTACAATGAACATACATTACTTTTTTCTAATGAAAAAAATACATAAGTATACCTCTAAGGTACTGGAGGTTTCAGTTGTAGAATTTCCAGTATTATTGCTTGAGTTTGAAGACACTGGTTCATTTTTGCCTTCATTATCTGATTTTTCATCAGAACTCATACATTCAATATCTGCATCAAAGCCTGTTGGATATCCCATTGCCTGCAATACCTGTACAAATGACATTAAGATTCAGTTTTACTCAAACACCAGAGACCACAGAGAACAGACGAAATACTGAGAACGACAGTTTCAAATCCACAACATGTGAATCCATGAAACAGCTTGGAGAAAGAGCAAGACGGTGCTAAATCTACAAATCCTTGGTGAAACAAGTTTTACCTACCAGGGTATCACCATGGAAAGTGGGAAGAACTTCCTCAGAGTAACTAGGTTTAAATAAAGGATGACAGAAATGCAAACCTGACGTTGCTCCTGGTTCATTTAATTTGGAGGTGAGAAGTAAAGAAAATAAACAGCATAGCCAAGTTCAACCAGTGAGGTGAGGGGAGAAGTAAAACAGCACACTGTAAAAGTACACTGGACTGGGAAGGAAAAGACCTGGGGTCTCATCCTAGATTTCTCTTCTGGTCCTCAATCTGTAAAACAGGAAGACTGATTAGTTGACCTCTAAATTCCATGACTCATTCCGTTAGGTGAAATTAGCACAGAAAGGGAATCAAGAAGTTTTCTTTACCTTGGAATCAATCTGCCTGTTAACTATATCTGAAGCTTTCTACTATTGACCTCTTTGCTTTCAAGTTAAACTATAATTGAGACTTGAAAGAAGATATCCAGTCTCTAGGTTGACTCTCTATACTAAGTGAACCAGGAACAATTTCAGGTTTGTATTTCCATCCCTGCCTCTACAGGCCTGGTCACTTTATGGCATCCTCCAATGTTCGTTCTTTCCTCTTATATTTCTTTTTTCTTTTTTTTTTTGTGAGGAAGATTGGCCCTGAGCTAACATGTGTTGCCAATCTTCCTCTTCTTACTTGAGGAAGATTGGCCCTGAGCTAACATCTGTGCCAATCTTCCTCTATTTTGTATGTGGGACGCTGCCACAGCATGGCTTGATGAGCAGTGTACAGGTCTGCGCCCAGGATCTGAACCCGTGAACCCTGGGCCGCCCAAGTGGAGCACACGAACTTAACCACTACGCCATCAAGCCGGCCCCTCTTTTTTCTTATATTTCTATTCAATGCCTGGCATTTCTCATCTGTTTTAAAATAAAGTTTTCAGAACAGTGTGTGTGTGTTTGTGCACACACACATGCATGCATGCTTGCCTTTTAATACCTCCTTCCAGGTTATACCAATATTTATAAGCGAGTATGTTCACTAGCATTTTTTTTGTGTGTGTGAGGAAGATCAGCCCTGCGCTAACATCTGCCAATCCTCCTCTTTTTTTGCTGAGGAAGACTGGCCCTGGGCTAATATCCGTGCCCATTTTCCTCCACTTTATATGGGACGCCACCACAGCATGGCTTGCCAAGCGGTGCATTGGTGCGCGCCCAGGATCCGAACTGGCGAAACCCAGGCCGCCGCAGCGGAACACATGCACTTAACCGCTTGCGCCACCAGGCCGGCCCCTCACTAGCATTTTTATAAGCCTCTTTCAAACGGTTGATACTGCACTGTCAGTTACTAATTTAAAAGTATATATCAGAAGATAAAGAGATAGGTTCCTAAAGAGCCTTGTATTTGTTTCATATTTTGACTAATGTTTTAAGTTGCTGGAATGTAAAAGCAACATCATGTTTCTTTACAATCCCAACTATACCTAATGGGTTTCTCAAAAAAACTGTTACGGTAGCCACACAAATGAGAAGCCAGACAGCACAGCCCTTATAAACAAAGGCATCTTGTATAAAAGATTCTGACAATATAAATAAAACAGTATTACTCTAAACACAAAACGGGCATAAGTAGAACTCTTGTACCAAGAGAACTTGAAATCAATTCACCCAATTCATATGGAGAATCTGGCATTCTGTTGAACATTTCAAATCATAAATAAATTCCTCGTATTCATTGGGAGTAAAGCCAAAAACCTTTTCTAACATCTTAAGTTCTAAGAGTACTCAGGTAGTAAAATTAACACTGAGTACACTAACATCATTTGGTTATATCCTCGTCAGTATTTTATAAAGAAAACACCTTCTCCATTGAGCCCTGCAAATATGCTCTCCCTGAGAAATCTCATCTCTGAGAGAATAGTTACCAGTGTGAAATTAACACCAGCTAACACAGGGTGCAAGTCAAAAGCCAACAGTCACAAATAAATTTGATTTGTTTATTCCAATAAAAACTGAAGACATGCAGCTTTTCCCAATTTAACACAGATAGTTAAAATTGTCTAATGTAAATTATTTAACATCACTTCTCTCTGCCCTTCCTTTTCTCACATATAGGATTCATTTATTTACTTGTTATTGTAGCAACACATTTCAATGCATTTATAAATAGTTTATATAACTGATGGATAATCTCAAGGGATACAGTATACTTGCAATACAGTACAACAAAAAAATTTCAAATTAACTCATTTTCCTATGAACACGTAGTCTGATTATTAACTAGTATATGCTACAGAAGTTAAAAAAAAAAAAAAAAGTAAAGAGTTCTCAGACATCTGGAACCGAAGTTTGTTTGGAATCAATATGAAGGCCAAAAAACTGGTATACCAAAGAAAACTGCATTTCAAGTGTCTGGCAAATAAATAACTGAGCTGAAAAAAATCACAAGATGATTCCTGGAAACAAGGTGACTGGGAAATATCCAGTGTAACCAGGCCTTTTTTCTACTAGAAGCAGGTGGAGGCTGAGAAAGATGTAATACCTTCAAAGACTAGGGGCCAAGAGTGAAAAGAAAACACACTCTACCCCATGGCTCTCCACTCAGAAGAAAGTCATATTCATGGCTTCTTATGATAGAGACCTGATGGCACCAAAAACCTTTGCAGAGAGCCTTCACTTCTTGTCCCCTTCTAGCTGATCTTTTCCCCACAGTGACTTAAGATTCTTTTCATGGAATACAGCTGATTATGTCCCTAAGGGTGTCCTTTGTGAGGGACTCTAAGGAAAAAGGATTGGAAGAGGAAAGGGAAGATTGGCCACTAATCTCTACTATTTTAGGTTGCCTGCTGTTGGGCAGCCAGGCTCCTGTGGCAGGAAATGATTTTTTCTTGTTTTGTTTTGATTTGATTCTCTGCTGTGATTTGTCTTAACAGGTACAGACCCCTACCAAGCAACTGAGTAAGGAATGCAAGGATTCTTATCTAGTGGGACCTACTTTCATAAACACATGCTGGATATAAAACTCTCTTTCAAACTCATACAGAATCTGTAACATGAGTATAACCTTTACAGATGGCAATTTGGCAATATATGCCTGACATATAATAAGAACCCCAATATGTATTTAATGAATCAAAGGATCATTCAAATATGCTTTCTTCTTGACCCAGTAATTCCATCTCTAGAATTCCATATCTTTTTTTTTTTAATTTTATTTATTTATTTCCCCCCCCCAAAGCCCCAGTAGATAGTTGTATGTCATAGCTGCACAGCCTTCCAGCTGCTGTATGTGGGACACGGCCTCAGCATGGCCGGAGAAGCGGTGGGTCGGTGCGCGCCCGGGATCCGAACCCGGGCCGCCAGCAGCGGAGCGCGCACACTTAACCGCTAAGCCACAGGGCCGGCCCTAGAATTCCATATCTTAAGGGATAATCAGACTAGCTCAAAAAGATGTAAAGCAATAAACTGGAAGCATCTAAATCTAAAAGGATTAGTTGCATTATGGTAGATTGATAATAATGAAATATTAAGCCATCACTAAAAATGAGAGCAATTTTTGTGACAACTATTTAAAAAACTCATTTTTAGATGAACAAAGAAAACATGATTCTATTTAAGTATATATTTTGTATACACATTATGTAGGACCCACCATTCCTTATCTGAAACCCTTGGGGCCAAACTATTTTGAGAATTCATAATTTTTCAGAGTTTAGAAAGCTAATACAATATATTTACCACGTATTTTCCAAATCCCTAGTGGGTTCTCAGGTGCTACTCCATTTTGTGCAAAGAAACATAAAATATTCACACTAAATGGAATAATAAAGACTAAAAATAGCCCCACATCAACTCGGGTCAGATTTTCCCATCAAGTGAGTTTCTATCAAACCAAGGGAAATATTTTTCATTTTCAGTGCTTTTTGGATTTTGCAACTGCAGGTTAAAAAGAAAAAAAAAAAGGCTTGAAAAAATACACACCAAAATGTCAATGTTTATTATGAGAACTAACAGCATCTAAATTTTGTCATATGCAAAATCTGCCACCCGACTAACTCCCTCAAGCTGTACTGAACTGACACTCGCTATGAGGCCACTAGCTTATATTAAAGGCCATTAAATGAAACAACCCACAAACTGTGTCACTGCATCCTAGATGCCTTTACAGGATATCACCGTTACTCCTTTTCATGAAGACTGGCCAAGGAGAATGCCCACCTGATCTTATACCACAACACCATGACTCTCATCATCGTCTGTCTGTTCTTATGACATAGACAGTGAATTGATAACTTCACAAGCTTTTTGTGTCAGATGCTAGAGAACTTAGATCTACCTTTGTAACTCATTTTCAGAATACAGTACAGCTAAGTTACTGAACTGTATTTTTAGCCTTATTCCTGAATTCACTTGTTCCCTCATTCTTGGTTTTCTTTTTTTGCCTCATTTTAAACTCATACTACTACAACATACTTGAAGTACCTCTTTTGTAAACAAGACAGAACACAAATAATGTATTATCTTATATTTTTACAGTTTAGTTATTATTTTTCTGCATTGTTCTTATTACTACCTGACATATAATTTATTCATTTGTCTATTTGTTGTCTGTCTCCCCATCCTATCCACGCTAGAACGCAAGCTCCAGGAGGAGACTTTGTTGTCTGTTCACTGCTGTATCCTTAGTATTTAGGATAATGTTTGCATCTATATTAATAATACTTGCAAAATGGAATGATCCTGAAGACAGACCAATTATATCTTATGCCATACTGTTACATAACAGAACTTTTCTTAACGAAAACTGATCTTCAGTCTACACGATCTTTGATATTTTCGCATTTGTCTGCAAGAGGTCAAATGTACTCTTAGAGATTCCAATATTCAGGAATTTTCTGCAAACCTACAGGCATTTGGTTGGTTCCATCCTGGACTTTATTCCCTACAGAAATATTCTGAAATACAGAAAAGGCACCATGCACAAAGATAATGATCACATTTATTTATGACAGAAAAAATCTGCAAACAGCAAAATATCCAATGATAGGGAAAAGTTAAACAAACAGTAGTACAACCATATCATGTTAATCATACAGCCATTAAAATTATTTATGAAGATTTTAATAACATGGAAAAACACTGATGACAAGTTAAATGAAAAAAAATCAGAAGATAAAATTACATATACAATGTTAGCCCAATGTAAAAAAGTTAAACAAAAAAGATTCAAAGTAAATAAACCAACATACTACATATAAAGACCTGCCTCAGAGATACGCAATTGACATATTTTTTATTTCTTTACTTTTTTCTGTGTTTTCCAAATTCTGTATAATCAACACATATTATTTTACAACCAAAAAATAAAGAATTCTGTGATCAAGGGGTGACAAAAGTCTATATGCTAATGTCATGAAAATCTTGAAAAATTATGTTAATTTACTATAGGAAAATAAGCATTTATATTTACAACATAAAATAACACAGCACTGGTAAGTAAAAGAAATACTGTACCTTCACTGCTACATGAAGTTTTGCTGTTTTCTTGGACGGTCCTGAGGCTTCATATGTTGTACCATCCACATCTACAGACATTGTGAAGACTGGAGCGTGGACAGGGCCAGACTGAGATAAGAGCTTATACTGAAGCCCAGGCCTGATCTGATTTAGCCTCATTAGCGCATTCATAAGGTCTATTGCTTTACTATCCAGAACTGTTAAAGAAAGAGGAATGAGATCAGAAATTAAGTGATTTTGCTTTAATTTATGCATTTGTAGGTTCCTAGTGACCACTATAAATTTACCACGTTTCAAAACACATATACAAATTAACTTCACTTCACAAGTAATTCTAAAATTACTTCTTAAATTATTATGCTAACATCATTGTAAAGGTAATATGCATTACTATATCTATACATAAATTTTATCAATATTAACATATCTTAAGCAATGAAGCTTGGAAACAAAAGAAAGTTATTCAATCACCAGTTTTTTCTCAGTTAAGATCTATTCTTTAAAATCTAATTCAAATCAATCAAATTCTTCCCTTTTAATTTTTATTTTCCTGTCTGAGACTATAAAGTCCTTTAAAGTCCTCAGTCCTTTCTAGCTCACATCTAAGAACAAAGATTTTACACACTTTTCCTTAAGTTTCGCTTCATCTTCTTATTGGGATCTTTATCATCCCCTAATCCATCTTCAAATGGCCTCTTCAGAGCTGAAGACCCAGCACCTAAAAAAATCACGAGAGATTCATTATCAGTTAAAACAATGATTCTACTTAGTTTAGCAAATGTATCTAATACGTTCAGGAAGGAAAAATCCTAGGAATCACAAGGAACATAGGATTCTTTCATTGATCATTTAAATTACCATATTTACAATCTTGTAATAGCAAAAATTTTAAAACTGAATCTTTATGAAACAATATTCCCCTTTTTATAAATATTTATTTTCCCATTTATTCATATATACATATACAAATATCTATGCATATATTCACATCTGTGTATGCACACACAGAAAAAAGTCTGGAAAGATATATATCAAAATGTTAAAGACAGTTATCTCTGGTAGTAGGATTTATTTTCACTTATGTTTTTTCAAATATTTCTATAATTTAACATTTATTACTTGTATAAATTTTTAAAGTCCACATGTTAAATCTTATGCTTTTGGAAATCTGATTATCTCTCACACTACAAAATATTCTGTCTGCCTATTCAAATCGTATTTAAGATTTTATTTACAGTTCATCTTCTCAATGAAGTTGTCTTCAGCATTTCTCTCATCTCCACTTTCTAAAAGGATTTCCATGGTATTACAATTATAAAGTGTCACATGTGGTCTTGTGTCATTGCCTATTTCATATATAGAGATCTTGTATTTCCTTAGTGCTCTATGAAGTTCAAAGATAATTTCTCCTTGTCTTGTATCTTATAAACTATCTAACACAAGACTTAGAAACAATATAATGGCTGTGGAACAAAAACTAACTGAACTGATACTATTCTTGGATAAAGCAGCTAGTTAATAACACTGTCAGGCATAAGGCAGGAGCTTTGCTGTCCAAATAAAAAACAGAGAGAAGCTCATCAACATGTCCAAGTACTTTAAAGAACTCTGTGTCTTCAACTTAAAGAAGGTGGTTGTTGGGTTTTTCCTAAAGGAAAGTTATACTCGAGAGATTCATGCCGCAAGGTTTCGAGATACCTCCAGTGAAACCTTGTAATAATACTGACATTAACTACATATTCTCTGATTATCAAGACTTACTGTCCCTTAAGGTAAACATTCATTTCAGCATTTGCTTGAGTCAATACTTACCATTCAGGTCAATCAATCTTGATGTTCTCTTCAGAAGGCAATATCTACTTATATTTACTTAGTATTGCTTAGTATTATATTTCATTTGCATTACATAAAACTGTAAGTGTGCCACTCTCCCAGAATGTAGTCTTTAAGAGAGAAAAGTTAAAAAGCAACGATGTCTATTCCATCTCTCTCCCACTCATTAAGTTACATTAAAAGCTGCTCCCTGATTGCCTGGAAATCACAAGTGGGCTTAAACGCACAAATCTATTCTCTAAATTCTCCAGCTACATGAATAGAGTTCCAAGGATTAAGCTTCATTCTACCACCCCAGCCACTGGAAAAGACCTATAAAATCTGGGGCTAATCATAATAGTAACCTGGGGGGAAAAAATGGGCTTGCTTTATAAAAAGCAAGTCGCCTTCAACCTCAACAATATTCTAGAAATGAGAAGTGATCATCTGAGAGGCAACAATTTTAAAAAATAATATGTGAGTGTTTATCACATGCCTGGCACCGTTCTTAATACCTTACATGTATTAACTTAATCATCACAAGCACCCGATGAAGCCTGTACTTTTATCATCCACATTATAATTTCATTCATGTATTCATTCAGCTACAAATATTAATTGAGCATTTTCTATGTGCAGGACAATTTTAGATGCTGGACATATATCAGAGAACAAAACAATGTCTCAAAGAGCTTACACATTTTGGTAGAAACTAATTATAACATGTCATATGGTCCTGGGCACAATGGAAAAAATAAGAGGCTTCAGGGGGAGGAGGTATCGCTATTTTACATGTCATGCTCATCAGAAAGGTATCACTGATAAGTGACCTTTTGATGAAGACCTGAAGAAAGTAAAAGAGTGAGCTATTCAGCTATTTGAAGAAAGGACCCCAGACAGAAAACAGCAAGCACAAAGGTCTTAAGGCAGAAACATGCTAAGAAACAGCATAAAGGCCTGCATGGCTCCAGTGGCATGAACCTCAACCCTAGCTGCTACTAATTCCCCAGAGGAACTTTTACAAAATATCAAAGTTCCACTTCCAATATGAGAAAGTAAGTAAATCAAAAAAGCCTTCCCGATGAGAGCAATGAGAAAAGCTGGACAAAATGTAGAATAAATATCTATTCCTGGAAAGTAAAGAATTATAGAATCAATATCTGGGAGATAAAGAAAACCCTGCATTGGGGGCCACATTTCCCTAGGGGCATCTTCCAAATCCAGAAGAAGCCACCCAGAAAACTGAACATAGTACTTTAACAGGCAACCCAGGTATCTGGTGTCAAAAATTGAAATTCAAGGACCCCCAAGAAGGGAAGGCCTGATGAATCCCCCACATGGTGCGTTGGGCCTCTGAAATGCCTTACACGATAAGTAAGATGAAGCAGAAACAGTCTGGATCTCGCAAGGACTGGAGCCCAGCTTCAAATCATCTTAATCCCTGACTGTATTAAAATGATCCAGGATTGCCAATTCCACTAGCTATCTCCCAGAAACAAATATAAATCCTCCCTGGAGGAATATATCATTACTCAAGGCTTTAAATTCTCGACAATTTTTCATTTTAAGTCTCCAGCATTCATAATCACCAGGTACATGAGAAGACAATATACTGTGATCAAAAACCAAGAGAAGGAGCAGACAACAGAAACAGACCCAAAAGGGACCCAGATGATGGAGCTTTCAAAAACAAACTTTACTGGGCCAGCCCGGTAGCACAGTGATTGGGTTTGTGCACTCCACTTCAGCAGCCTGGGGTTCGCAGGTTTGGATGCCGGGTGCAGACCTACGTACCACTTATCAAGCCATGCTGTGGCAGGTATCCCACATATAAAAAGTAGAGGAAGATCGGCATAGATGTCAGCCCAGGGCCAATCTTCCTCAGCAAAAAGAGGAGGAATGGCAACAGAGGTTAGCTCACGGCTGATCTTCCTCACCAAAAAAAACCACGTTATTAAAAAGAATGATTAGAATGCTCAAAAAAAAAAAGACAAGAAGAAGAATTTTTGGCAGAAAATCTGAAACAATAAAAGAGCCAAAATTGCAGAAATGAAAAATATAAATTAAAAACTAATAGACCTGCACAACTATCCACAATAGAGGGGAACTGACATACCTCTCTCAGTAATTAAGAGAACAAGTAAACAAAAAATATAGTACAGGTATATAAGATTTGAACAACACAATGAACAAATGTGACCTGACATGTAAACAACATTCTGACCACCAACTGCAGAATATACATACTTTTTCAGAGCACAAATCATTTACAAAAACTTACCATGTGCTGGGCCATACGTAACTCTCAAGAAAAATCAAAGGATGGAAATCATACAAGCATATTCACAGATCTCAGATCACAGAATAAATGAGAACTCAAAAATAAAGAGATAACTAGAAAATCCTCCTTTGTCTGGAAATTAAGCAATGATATCTAAATGGCTCATGTGTCAAAGAACTGATAACAAAGGAAACTAACAAATAGTTTTAACTAAGTGATAATTAAAATACTAATGTCAAAAGAGTGTGTAATGCACATAAATCTGGGCTTAACGGAAAACTTATAATCTTCATAGTATATATGATAAAATAAGAGGCTAAAAAATATCAATAGGCTAAAAAAAAAATCAATAACGTATTCATCTATATCAAAAAGTTAAAAAAAGAACAGCAAATTAAACCCAAAGGTAGTAAGGAAGAAAAAGAAGGATAAAAGCAGAAATCAATGAAACAGAATATGAGCATACACCAGAAGATGATCAACAAAACCAAAAGTTGATTTTTTTGAAAATTCTAATAAAACTGATAACGCCACTCTAGTGAGAGTGATCAGAAAAAAAAGGAGGTATGAAATGCATAAAAGAGGATATCAATACAGACACTGCAGACAATAAAAAGAGGATCTTATACACTACTTTATTTTTAAATTTAGATGAAGTGGACAAATTCCTATAAAAACACAATTTACCAGGGGCCGGCCCCGTGGCTTAGCGGTTAAGTGTGCGCGCTCCGCTACTGGCGGCCCGGGTTTGGATCCTGGGCACGCACCAACACACCGCTTGTCCAGCCATGCTGAGGTGGCGTCCCACATACAGCAACTAGAAGGACATACAACTATGACATACAACTATCTACTGGGGCTTTGGGGAGAAAAAGGGAAAAAAAGGAGGAGGATTGGCAATAGATGTTAGCTCAGGGCTGGTCTTCCTCAGCAAAAAGAGGAGGATTGGCATGGATGTTAGCTCAGGGCTGATCTTCCTCACACACAAAAAAATTAATTAAAAAAAAACACAACTACCAAAACTCTTATAAGAAGATGATAGTCTTATGCCTATTAAGAAAATTAAATCCATAATTTAAAACCTTTCCACAAAGAAAACCGCATGCCCAAATGGCTTCCCTGATAAATTCTTACAAACACATAAGGAAGAAATAACATCAATTTTATACACGCTCTTCCAAGGAACAGAAAAAGAAGGGACATGTCCCAACTCACTTTATGAGGTCAGCATAACTTGACAAAACATTACAGCAAAGGAAAATTCCTGGTCGATCTAACATACAAAAATCTGTGTTTTTGTGACGTGTTCACAAAAATCTAAGCAAGATTGTTCATAGCAGCTTTATTTGTAAAAGCCTGGAAACAAACAAAATGATCTACAATAGGTACATGGTTAAACAAACTCTGGCTAATCCATGCCATGGAATACTACTCAGCAATAAAAACGAACAAACTATTGACACATGCAACAACTTGGATGGGCCACAAGGGTATTTACACTAAGTGAGGGGGAAAAAATCTCAGAAGCTCACATACTGTATAGCTCCATTTACATAAAATCCTTGAAGTGACAAAACTATAGAGATGGAGAAAAATTAGTGGTTTCCAGGGCTTAGGAATGGTTG